AGCTGCGCACTTGCACGTGTGCACAGAAAAAATGTCCACCCCACGCACCTCCTATGGAGAGCTGTGTGGCAGGCGGCAGGAGGCTGCTGGAGTGGCAGCTGGGATCAGAGGAGCTGTGAGCCACGCGGTGGGAGGCTGTGGTGGCAGCCAGGGCCAAAGGAACCACAAGCCACATGTGAGCCTGGGTGGGAGAGCAGCGAAGCAGGCACCAGGGTAGTACCAGAGGGGCCCAGGACAGAAGGGATCTGACACAGATGCCAGATGGGTGGGTGGCAAAGGCACTAGCTGAATGTGGTGGTGGGAGGTACCGGGCACGGGTATATTCTGGGGTGGGGGAAGGAGGGAGGGCAAGTTGCAAGGTCAGACACAGGTCTCTGGGTAATGTGGGGGGAGAGAGGGACAGGTGAGATATGTGGCTGGGCTCAGGTCTCTGTTTATATCTCGCCTGTTCGCCCACACACAAAGAGGCCCTGGCTGTTTGTGTTTGGGGGGCAGATAGCGTGGCCCTGGTTAATATACTGGTGGCATATGGGGGAGGGAGGTAGATTGCAAGGCTGGGCACAACTACGGGGGGAAGGGGATAGGCAGTTAGCCAGGCCTATACGGGTACTAGCTGGCTGTGTGTGGTTTTGATGGGGGCACAATGTGTGCTGGGGGCAGGGGCCAGCAAGCTGCGTAGTTTTCAGGGTGGGTTGGGGTATGTCATGCACTTTGTTAATTATCCATTGTTTTAGTATTTTTTCCTACATAACAATTTTAAATTATATCTAGATAATATGTGTACGTGTGTGTGTGTGTGTGTAATTTTGTTAATAACAGGTGGGTGCCACAGCAGCACACATCCAAACAAGTGCACATGACCTCAATATTGGTGCACAAGCCAAAACTCACTCTGCTCACAGATGGAAAACCTTAGAGGGAACACTGATTATGATGATCCCTTCTTAAAGTCTATGAATCAATGAGCAAACCTTTCATGTGTGTCATTGGGTGTTTGGACAGGACCTGTGGGATTTGGCCACATAAATAGAGGTCCACTTTCTACAGCATTAGAATTTGCTCACTGACACAAGTTAGAGCTTACATTTACTTCTGCATTCTAAGTAGAAATTTTATCAACAGAGATTTGCTCTCTTAGGCTGCGTCTAGACTGGCATGATTTTGCGGAAATACTTTTAACGGAAAAGTTTTTCCGTTAAAAGTATTTCCGCAAAAGAGTGTCTAGATGGGCAAGGATGCTTTTGCGCAAAAGTGCTTTTGCACAAAAACATCCGTGCCAATCTAGACGCGCTTTTGCGCAAGAAAGCTCCGATGGCCATTTTAGCCATTGGGATTTCTTGCGCAAAAAATTAAGGTGCCTGTCTACACTGGCCCTCTTGCACAAGTATTCTTATCCCTGAGTGGGAGCGTGAAAGTATTTGCGCAAGAAGCACTGATTTTGTACATTACAAAGTCAGTGTTCTTGTGCAAATTAAAGCGGACAGTGCAGACAGCTGGCAAGTTTTTGCGCAAAATCTTGCCAGTCTAGATGCACCCGTAGGCCCTTTTCCGGAAAAGGGATGCAGATTAGACACTTCGGAATTGCAAATCCGCGGGGGATTTAAATATCCCCCGCAGCATTTGCATTTACATGGCTGCCGCTT